GGTTTCATCGACAACCTTAGAACAGTGCCCGGTAGTGACAGTAACTCATGTAAGGGAGTTATGTCATGTAGTTAATTGGCTTCCATTTATATGCCAACTACTCAAAGAGCTTTACCCTCACCTTCATACACTGTTGGCAGAGGCTACCACACTAGATAACTCTCACACGCAAACTCAAAGGACACTTTTGACATGTTGATTGCACGGGCTGGGGAGTAAACAATCGACTTCCACAAGCTGACAATCGACATTTTAGGTCAACATGCCACTAGAAATATGGGCCTTTGCTTGGGCCTCAGAACTTCCAGCCACAAATATCAAGGTCTATCTTTTGTTTTGGATTAATTAAAGAAGATCTTATTCCACTGTTAATTAGGTATTTCTTGTCTAGAGGACGCCTTCAAAATTATTGAATTTGTTTGTTTAAAGCTGAGGTGTCGCCCCAACCTCAAGGATTTAAAAAACAACTATGAAACGAGTTCTTAGATGTGGACTTGACAGTCGTTGTTATGTCGACTCAGGTCTCTGTTTTTTTTTGATGACTTCCAACTTGACTTGACAGAAATGTAATTATTGAAGGCTTAATATGGACATGTAATTGAAGACCCATGACTTGACTTGACTTGAGACATGATGACTCTAATGACTTTCTGTGTTCATTTAGGTTTTCAGTTTAGATATTTTGATGTTTTAGAACATTATTTAACTGAATTTCTGTAACTCTGTAACTGAAATTAAATAATTATAATACAAATTCAATTCATGGACAATCATTTTTGAATAGCTTAGTTTAATTGGCCAATAATATCATCATTAGAAATGAACCAATATATTGCCTTTTCATAAATAATTGATTCTGTAGGTAACTCTGCAGAATCTGCATGGACTTGTCAAAGAAAAAACGAAATAAATGACTCGACCAAATTACTTGATTGAAATGTCTAAAAGCTTGTCTTTCTCTGTTCTGTCCAGTGTGCCAGGAGACAATATGGGAAGCTTTCAAGATCTTCTGGGACCGCCTCCCGGAGCAAGAGGAGTACCAAAGCTGGATGAACCAATGCCAGGAGGGCACAGTCACAGCACAATATATTGGCAGCCACTTTAGCCAATCAGAGGAGCATCAGGCTCTGGTTAAAAATGTAAGATGCTTTCTTTTTAAAGTATATTTAAGAAATACAGAACATAATGTATAACTTTGCTTGTTTTTCTATTTCTAGAGAATGTCAGAGCCAGGTTTGAAAAGGTAAATGAAACCACTAACTTATCATTTCAATCATACATTAATTGGTCTCATCAAGGCTATGTTTTGTAAATGCTACTTGTCTTCCCATTCTCAGTAGTGATGAGCCCAACCAGTCCTGGCAACATATGTGCAGGTAAAGTTATGAAGTCTCTTCCACATTGTCACTCGTCTGTTATTACACATGGCTTCAGGCCAAGCTAAGCTAACGAGTTGCTGGCTGTAGATCATATTTAGCGTATAAATGTGAGAGTGGCTCCAATATGCTCATCTAACTCTTAGAAAGAAATTGAATGTGTAATTGTATCTCCCAAGTTGTATATTTTCTTTTATTCTTATAATATTTTTAAGAAATTCCTTATTTTCTATGACCCGGGGTCAGCTAGATCAACCTTTTGCTAAGTTAAAACAACTCTTATCAACGGAATAAAAACATAAAAGTAATTAAAAATGAAATAACATATATAAATGTAGCCACATTTGTAGACCCTACTCGTGTGTCTACATGTATGTGTTTGTGTGCTTATTATAATTTAGTAATATAATATCAGCACAGTTTCAATAATCTTTTACTTTTCACAGCACACAGCGAACACCGGAAGCCGTTGAAGCTCCTGAGCTAGGTCAGTGACACTGTCAGCTTCAGGACGTCATGTGACTTTAATCACATAAGCATCCTCTTGTATCTGTATCTGTGCAAAAGCATTGTTGCTACAGGGTCAAACCATTATCTTTTGTGTGTTTCCATGTCATTATTCCTACAATATTCCAGCTTTCTATGCAGAACGTAGGTGAATCTCTTCTGTGTGTTTGGAGATTGAGCTAAGCAGGAAGCCACTTCAGCAGTCTAATCAGGAATCACAGCACCTGCCAAAGGTTAACGCACTTGAAATAGACAAGCACTCCTTTATTCAATCCTTTTTTTACACATGAACTCAACCACCCAGAGGACACAGTTGAAGGAGAGGAGGTGGAGGAAGCAGCCGCCGCTGTCCCAGAGGTGGAGGAGAGTCCAGTGAGTGCACACACACATTGTTTACAGATTCATTGTCTTTCACTAATGTGCACATGCAACTACTATATAAGCCATAGGTGGAAGAAGTACATTACATTTCATTTGGCTGATGCTTTTATCTAAAGCTTGTTACAATAAGGGCAATAAATAATAAATATACAAACTCAGAACAACAAGAAAGATGCAGATATAGTTGCTTCAAATAAGCCAGACCATTGTAACATTGAAAAAAATATTATGTTATCCTGTTTTCATCCCTAACAAAACACATGTAAGGGCATTTTAATGTTATGGTTTGTCATTGTGGAACCAATTTTGGAAATGTATCTAGAATACTGGTTAGGTTAGTAGTACAGTACTGCATTCTATCATACAAGTACATATGTCTTTATGTGTAAAAAGTCAATTATAACTGTGACTGTTAAATAAACGAAGACGATGAAAGGTAGAATATTTGCCTCTGTGTGCGTGGGATCTAGTAAAGCACAATTGTGTCAAACTGTACTTTAGTAAATGTGTTTTTATTTTTACATTCCACCACTGGATGTAACTGGGTCTCTGTCTCTTGGTACAGTTGAACAACGACATCGCCGTGCAGCCTCTGACCCCCATGATGCTGGAGCAGGTGGTGGAGCTGAGCATCCTCCTGCCCGGAAAATCGTACACCCACGACCTGGAGAATCCGACCAGCTCCCAGCACCAAACACTCAGCAGACAGCTCGCTCAAAAGGTTCCTCTCCGGCTCCTTATCCTTCTCTGTCTGACTTTACGACTCCCCTTAGTGCTACTGTATCTTGGCTCCAAAACGGCGCTCACTATTTATGGTCTGTGATGGATGCATTGTTAGCTTTAATAACACACATTTAAACAGCAGCAGTAGTTTAACTGTTAGGGCAGAGTTCAAAAACGCTATGTGCTGAAAATACAGTGTTAAGACGTGTCATGGGAGTTGATACATTTTTGCACAGGTACTCTGTTTGGAAGCAGTTTCAGTGGTTTTACAGGAACTAGGAACATTCAGTACATTTGTTTCAGTGCTTTTCCCTGGCATCATAAACAAAAGCTTGATTTTATGCCTAAAAGGGAAGCCATTTCTCTTAATCTCTGATTTTTTTTATTCCCAGTGGATATCTGCTATACACATAAAATCTGCTTTCCCCACACATTTATACACACACATAAACTCACGTGCCTTGTAGAGGTTATACGTGTGAGTGTAGTGGAGGATAAGGTAGTACAAATAATGTAGGCAAGGGGAAATTGGAGGACAAGCAAGAAGACAAAGGCCCTGGGGATTTTCTTGCGTCCTCTCTCCGATGTATAAAATAAAGTGGGTCAGTGAGTCTGCAGAACAGAACAGTGTATGGATTGTTTTTTCTTAGTGCCTAGAAGCAGGGCCCTGTAGACCAATAAAAAGAGTTGACCACAGTGCAGCAGTCTGCCTCCAGAGGAAAATAATCTGGGACACAGCACACAGGACTCAAAACTTTCAGCTTCTTTGAACAAAATGAGTCCCTGGGGAACAACAAATCTGAATTATTTTGCCAAGCAAGTCCATTGTAACCTTGTAAAAAAAGAAACAAACTTCTCCTGTGGCTTGTTTTTTTAACTTTTTTGTCCTTGCAGATTGAGGACGCTCTGAAGGGGCTTCCTGGATTTAAGAGTGTGTCTGTGAAGGACTTCAGGTCAGTCCCTTTGCTACAGTTTCTGCTGGATCTTGACAAAATAAATGACCAAAACTACCTCGACTCGTAGCACTAACAGCTTTTCAATCTCCTTGTTTTATGTAGGCCTCAGAAGGACGACGAAGGGTGAGTCATCTTTACGGGCCGTGGTAGTTAGACCTGGAATATTCTTGTATTTAAGCCCACAGATCCCTATCAACCATTCGTTAGCTAGATCTGTGTGAGTGTGTGTAGAGTCACCTTCCTCTCACACTGTATTTACCTGTGAGCGTGGGCACATGTCAAGGTGTTTCAGTAGTTTCCTGTTGATCTTAGTGTGGTCACTCACATGTTAAGTGGGATCAGGATGGGTTCACCGGAAGATAATCCGGGCTTTACGACCGCGCCGATCAGCCTCTGAGGGAGTGATGGAGAGGAGAAGGGTTAGGTATACTGTAAAAGAGATGTGTCAGGGGAGAAAAGGTGAAGACGAGCATAAAACAGGAATTGTTTTGATCTGACAGAGGATGAGATCCTACTGGTCAACGTTGATGAACCAGAACCACTAGTGACGGACTCTCTGAACCCGGTCCAACCCACTGAATTTTTTTGTTTTTGGTGGTGGAAGATCCTTTAGTACGGCCGAGGTACCAATACCCTATCGTGATAACATTTTTGGAAATAGCCTTTTGCTTTCTGGCAAAGAGTTAGCTTTGAAGATTGATGACATCTACACATCTGTAGGGTGTTAGCTTAGCGGCAGCCGGTTAGCTTAGCTTAGCATACAGACTGGAAACTACCGAAAGCCACTAGCCTGGTTATCAGGCTAAATCCACCTAGTAGCTACTCTATAGCATTTCAATGTGTTCACCTATCAATGTGGAGCCAATTTGACCAACTATATAAAGTTATGAAGTTTTGTTTTAAGTTTTGAAACAATACAATTATAATAACTTACATTTTTTGTAGTTGTAAAGTACAGCAACATCATGCAATCCACAATATCCAGTTAAAAAATATTCTTATTTTAATTAAAGTAAAATCTAGGGTGTTTTTATAAAGCACTTCATCATTTGCATGAATGACGGGGAAGCAGAAGGTAAAAGGAAGGTCATTTTCTAAGCTTATCTGTACAATTTGTCATGTTTTCACAGTACTTACTGTAAGTAGATGTACTGACCTACAATCCACCCTGGCTTGCTATAATTATATATAAATAGCTTAAAATGTACTTTTGCCATTTGTTTGCAAACATACGTGCATACTTATGCCTTCTTACAGTGATGCTGTAATTAATCTTGAATTTCGCTGCTAACTGCAGACCTCACAGCACAGGAAGAGTAAATATGTAAAAGTCTGTATAAAGCTAAAGTGGGAAAATTCCACTTGGGACCGAGAGGCACGTGCTCAGCCGTCCGCCAGAAACCCGACAAACTAGGTCAGATTGGAGGGCTCCAAGTTGTCAAATGAAGAATGAAAGATTGGATTTTTTCAGGGCCTGGAAACTATTATGAGGTTTCCTTATTTATTATGATGATATTGATCATGCTGCTGACTCAGCTTTTTTTTGGGGGCCTACAGAGTAGAGCTTCTGCATTCCAAAGAGGAGAAAATTACCCGAGTCGTTAGTCATCTGCGATCCCGAAACAACTCTTTTAACAGGGTCGACGTTAAATCACAATAATGCTTGAATGATTTTCATCTTCTTTGACTTTTTTTTCATACTCTCTTATTATAAATGTGTGTATAGGATACATGTACAAATAGTGTAGGTGCATTTTAGAAACTAGCGTATTTATTGGGAAATGCCCTTACAAAGCTTGCATTGGAAAGCTTGCCCCTCCATGTGAGGTCGGCCCAGACCCTAGGGGTTTTTAAATCAAAACTAAAAACACACTTCTTCTCTCTGGCTTTCTAGTTAGAGCGGAGCACGACTCCTGACTTTTCCGTGTGTTTTATTTTTATTTTGTTTTTAAGATATATCTGTTGTAATTTATTGTCGTTTATTGTGATTTGTAGTAATGTGTTTTTATTACATGTACAGCACTTTGGCTCGACCAAAAATCGCTTTTAAATGTGCTATATAAATAAAACCTGATTTGATTTGATTTGATTTGGAAAAATTAAAACCTTCTAATCTCACTCAACAACTAATATTGTGCTAAAATATGCGGAATTGTCCAGAAGTCCCATAGATGTAAATGAATGTAACACCTACAGATATATATGAAGATGCTTATGTAACTTGTTATGTGCATTCATATTGAATTGTCCCTGTGCAGGGGCGGTGTGGTGGTGGACTACGCTGTCACAGTGGTGGTGGATAGATCAGGAGTGAGCTTGGAACAACTGGACTACCTGACGCTGCAATCCAACCGGGTGGAGAACTCGTACCGTGAAGTCATGGAGCTCCCCACTGTGGTGTACGCCATCAGCGAGGTCAAAGACATCATCACTGACGCCCTGCATAACAACGAGCTGGACACTGGTAAGACCAGCGGAGGCCAAAGCACGTCTGCTGGTATTCCCCGCACTGTAACCGAACACACAAATACCCCCATTACAGCTATTTATTTAATTGGCATGGCAGCTGGGAACACATTGGCAGAGTTAGTGCGTGCAGCGCAGGGCAAACGGCCAAATGTCATATCAAATACAGACACAGTAGACCCAACATTGACATTACAACATACGCTACACCACTTGAGAAAACATTCCAGGGTTTTAATAGTCTCATCTGTTTCTTATTTGTCTGAGGAGAGAAGAAACGTATTTAAAAGGAGTTTCAACTCAGAAGTTAATGAACAAAAAACAGACTCATCAGTTACAGGACCCATGTATTTACACTCAAATCCTTTCATTAAGTTGAGGAGAGCTGAGCAAAAGAAAGGATGTTTGAAATCTGAGCCTTTTTCTAGACTGGAATCCTTAATTTTGGCTCAAACCAAGCGTATCCTTCTGTTTCAGGTGTTTACCGGACTTACAATGTAAAAACAATTATGAAAAAAGTACAAATTGTGGCACCAGTAGACACAAAAGTAAAAAAAACACTCAAATGGTCACACGGGGAGATCTAAACTTCGACATCTGTTAGAGTTACTCAGTAAGTAGGTTAGCTACCTCCTACTTCTGGCCTAGGTCCTCCTCCAGAAATGTGAAGAAATTGAATGATGTGATAATGTCTATAGCATCTTTCTTCCTCCTGTGTGATTCCTCCCTGCTCATGTTTTGGAGAGAATGCGTGTCATTAGTTTACTGTGTTAGCGAGCTTCCCTGGAGATGCAGCTAAGGCTCACTTTAATTAGAAGCTTTGAATGTGAAATAATGGCTAAACACTCTCATATGGCTGACATGTGGGTCTGGGGAACCTAAAGGCACCGCTTGGCTTTGTTTTTCTGCTTTAGGGGAGATGCAGTAATAGCCTTGGCCCCACAGCGGCTGATATTCAGTCCAGATTTTTGCACTGATTTGTAGATATTTCCCCCCTCAAGGTAATGTCAAAACTAAGGCTGTCAGTGCTGAAATGGAATCGGGTTAAAAGGATTCTGCAGCCTTGATTATTTTATCTATATGGCACATGCGCATGTTGTGTGTCAGTGTGTATTAATATTTGTTTCCCCCACCTGGTTCCACAGTGTCTGAGGTCCCTGCAGATGGAGACACGGTGAGTTAACAAGTTACCACCACTATCATGACAGCATCTCTCTTTGGGGGCTATCAAGCTGCTTGGAGCGGATAAATCCCTTTTTGTTTAAGGAAGCTTGACGCCTGTAGTACTGATGTTGTGAAAACCTTTAACTGGCTTGAGATGTTATCAGGACCAGTGCAGGTAGGGGATGAGCCCACCTATGAGGATGAAGTGAGGCTTTGAGGATTACTTTGACTTTTGCTATAATAATCCACTGCTATTCTGGGGGGAAAAGCTTCAGAGCGCCGCACTACTGAGAGTCAAGAGGCGAGACAGCACATATGAGTTTATTCAGACAAGTAATAACATCTTTAGTCTGTGCTGTCTTGTGGTTGACTGTGCGCTTTGATAGTAATCAGAGTTTGGGTTGCACTTAATGTGTCTGCCGGTTCACTTTATAGCCCAGCTCCCTAAGTGATTAATTTGACTCATTATATGAGTTGGGAGAGTTTGGAAAACTTCTCACCAATAATTGATTTGCAGGCAAGAGCCCAGAGCTTCTGTGCCACCGAAGCACTTTTCTGCCCCTGTTCGATTTGGTACAATTTAAATTCAGCTGCTGTCTTCAGGGGCTGAAGCATGCCACCAAAATAATTATAGACTTTTTCCAGTTCAGTCGACTCGCCAATACTGCTTTATAGCCTGTTATTAAATAATTATTTCAATAATTAAATAATCCATTTCAAATGTATAATAATGTTTATCTGTAGAGTTACAGTTACTTTCTTGTAGAGTGAGATTTTTTTAGTTTTTTTAGGTTAGCATAGTGGTCAGAACAAACACCTTTCCCAGCTATATTAACCAATTTTCCCCTGGGATTATTGAAGTATTTCTGATTCCGAATATTCAATTTCCCTGTGTCTATCTTCAAGTTAATACATTTTTTGCCTAAACATTTCATTTTAGACACAAGCGTTGTACCTACTATACATTAAATGGAACCCACAGAGCAGCCACAGTAGCTGTTGTTGCATGACACACTCACTGTGAAACAGTGCCAATACCTTTAGATAATGAACTCTGTTTGTGATGCAGAATACTGCTGCCGATGAGCCACCAGAGGTCGCGATCCTAGAAGAGGACGTAGAGGACGTAGAGGATGTCGACAAAGTTGGCGTCCTGCCTGACGTCTTCGAAACCAACAGAGTGGAGAACAACGAAAATGACATCATTATCCTGGAGGAGAGTGTAGTTGTGTCTCCTGATTCTGTCAATACAGATAGTGAACTTGAAGCTGATAGTAAGTGTTTATACCTAACATAAACATTTGCAGTGTATCCCCCTGTGGTGCTTTTTCCCTACAATGATACTTCTATTGTTTTCACTTCGACTGCACTTCCTCCTGCTTTGTTTGCGCTGAAATAACTTATGAAACTGATCATTTTCTGCACTTCTCACTTCTCATTTTGTTGATGTTAACCAGATAGATCTGTGGATCTTTACTTAGGTAGCCAGTTTCTATAAAAAGAGAGATTGAGACAATTTTCTTCTGTATTTTTTTCCCAGGCATTGCAGAGGAGGGTCTGTTACTCGGGGACATTGTGCAGACTCCTGCAGTAGAAACCCCCGCCGCAGAGGAGCTCCCAGCTGAGCTCCCAGCTGAGCTCCCAGCCGAGCTCCCAGCCGAGTTCCCAGCCGAGCTCCCAGCCGAGCTCCCAGCCGAGCTCCCAGCCGAGCTCCCAGCCGAGCTCCCAGCCGAGCTCCCAGCCGAGCTGTCAGAGGTTACACTTCATGAACCCCCAGTGGATGAAGAGGCCTCTGGAGTGGGCACAGACAACCTAAATAACCTGCTCGAGCCACCTACAACCACAGAAGAAGAAGACGTAGAGTCTCTTGAGGAGGCTGACCCAGAACATGGGCTGACCACAGAGGAAGAAGAAGAAGGCCCGTCTGTCCTGGTCTCACCTCCTGAGACTGAAGAGGAAGCGAGTGAAGCACCAGAACCGTTGGCAGAAGAAACAGGTGAAGAATCGGTGGAAGAACCAGAAGAACAACCAGAAGAACAACCAGAAGAACAACCAGAAGAAGAACATGCAGAAGAGGAAGACAATACTGTGGTGCTGACCATTCCTGAGGAACCTGTGGCTGAAGAAGGTGGCGTGGAGGAAGCAACAGAGAACGAGGTAGAAGAGGCTGCACCTGAAGCTCCTCCTGTGGAGGAAGAGGGCCCGGCAGCTCCAGAGCTCTCCACAGAGGATCTGACAGAGGATGAGATCCTACTGGTCAACGTTGATGAACCAGAACCACTAGTGACGGACTCTCTGAACCCGGTCCAACCCACTGCCCTGTCCCCAGAGAAGGAGTCGCCCTTCACCCGCATCTCTGATATTGACACCGCCCTGGAGGAACAACCTGACATCATCATCCCTTCACTGGTGGAGGTAAAGCAAGAAGAATTGAATTAAAAAAAGTGGCAAAGTAATGCCCAATTTGATATAATAATAAAATAACAATAAGAACATATACTTTATTGATGTTACTACTACTTCTATTACTAACAATAATAATCATTCAAAAATAGATCAATAATAATAATAGTTTCTGTTTTTACGAAATCTCAACAGAATATATGATTTTTTGAAATATTTAAACGGATAAAACTTAAAAGAAAACATTTTGTGGAATGTATCTGAGCTTTAATATTGCTGTAGGTCCCCAGTTAAAAGTACAATGTAAATAGGTCAAGTTTTATTTATAGAGCACTTCATATAACCAGGGCTAGGTCAATCAGTGCCTTTATATGTAATCAGCAGGATCTTATAGCTTCATCTGAATTCAAGAGGAAGCCAAAGAAGGGATTTAAGAACTGCTGGTTCTTGTTAATAACTTGGCAAGTCTCTCATTTTTTACTGCCCCAGATCCAGACCACTGACGGAGGCTTGGAAGGTGCCACTAATGGAGACAGCGACTATGAAGTGGTCCATTATGGTTATGAGTTGATTAACCACACAGAGGAGGGCAGCACTGGCTTTCCGTTTGGTGCACACGGCACAGACCAAGTCAGTATCGCCATGCCTGTGAACCCCGGACGAGCACTGATGGTGTTCTTCAGCCTGAGGGTGACCAACATGATCTTCTCAGAGGATCTCTTTAATAAGAAATCCCCAGAATACAAAGCTTTGGAGCAACGATTCATAGAGCTGGTAAACTCCTGTCATTTACTGCACTTGATTATCAGCATTCCCACTGTTGTGTTGTAACATCAAACCCTTTTTTTGGTATATTTTCCCAGCTTGTGCCCTACCTGCAGTCCAACCTGAGTAACTTTGAGAACCTGGAGATCCTGAACTTCAGGAACGGGAGCATCGTGGTCAACAGCCGGATGAAATTCGGAAAACCTGTTCCAGAAACCGTCACCACCACCGTCTATCTGATCCTGGAGGACTTCTGCAACACAGCCTACCAGACCATGAACCTGGCCATCGATAAGTACTCACTGGACGTAGAGTCAGGTTGGTTCTCACGATATACACTGTGTTTTGATCTTCTAGACAACTGTGATATCATGAATTGTTTAATGCTTGTTTTAGATGTTTAAACAAGTTGTTGCTTTTATGCAGAGAGTTTAATTCGAGAACTTATTAGGGCTGTACCCGAATATCCGAATATTCGTTCGTTGGAGTACTATTCGGGTTTCAATTTCGTTATTCGGATATTCTTTCTGTTTTTCAGCACTGCGGCTGCCAAATTGAATTTATTGAAAACTCCAATATCAAGAGCTTGTGCCTCTTCGGAGGGTGTTAACACTTAACCATAAACGTTATCGTTTACTTTCTCCGTTTTTATATGTAGATATTACTTTTTCTCCGTTAATCTCCGTCACGTTGTTTCCATAGCAACAACAACTTCCTGTCAACAGCGCTAACTCTCCTTCAAAATAAAAGCATGTCCATACAAAATAGGAAGCCAAGCCAAATTACACTTAAGACATATACAACTGCAACGAAAATAACACACACAATGCAATATCCTTTTCAATTTCAAAGAACACAAATTGGGTTGTATATACATTAACAAATAACTATAAAACAACAATACTGTAGAATAACAAAATGAATGCCGTGAACAAACCGAAATACACGTGTTGAAGCGGTTCGCTGCTGATTCGCCTCTCATGTTGAGTGTGTGTGTGTGACGTAACGTAACGGCTCCACGGATTGGTCCATTTGGACCAATGGGTCCATTTGGGTATGGGCACGTCACTGTACCCAGGAAGAAAACAATGGAAAAAGAGAAATGTCCAACGAGGCGTTCTGGGGCAGCATTGACGGGTCTTTTCTGTGTTAGAGTTTTACTCGCTACAGGGTGTACTTTGAGGGTTTGTGACTTTGCAGACCGTTTACATGCATAAAAACCTTCATAACACACAAGGGGACGGGTAATAACCGGAAAAGCATGACATGGGACCTTTAAGACTTGAAACGAATAGAAACAGCTTGCCTGGCTACGTCAAAAGGTGAAAATATCTGCCACACTGCATCTGTAAAGCTGGAAAATCTCTGCACATATCTGCACGGATATAACTTGTTAGCCAAGGAGCTTTAGACGTGCTGGTAGGCAGATTATGTGGCGCCAATCTTCTCATCTAACTCTCAGCAAGAAGCCGTAATTCCCAAAATGCTGAACTATTCCCTCAACGGCTAATCGGAGAGCATTGTTTTATAAAATAATCTCAGTAAATCAGTGTTGAATGACATGCTAGTGTGTGAAAAGGCCTGGGAAAGCAGGTGTTAGATCCTTGTCGTGACACTTCTATCGACAGCTGGGATGAGATGATCAAGGCTTCCCTGGACAGCAGCCAAGTTTACATGTATCATTACTGCACTTTGACCGGCTGATTACTGCGTGCAGCTCTGGTTTCACATGTGTGAATTATATTGCCATTTTTTAACTAGGGAGCAAGCATGAAATCTTCTGCTCTTTAAACATTTTTGCATTTCCTCATGTGGTATCGGTCTCCAGGCTTCTGTGCGTGACACCATCAGCCAGTTCGAAATAGGCAATTTATGATAACAGTGATTCATGCTTGTGTTGTGTTTACAATCATTACTGAGCTGTCATAATCTGTCTGATCACTGCCAGCGCTCATTGCTGGATCCCAGCATGCATTAGGGCTGCATTAGGATGGAAGGAAGAATTACCTTTGTATGTGTCTGTGAATATCCTTTGACAAAAAAAAAACATATCTGAAATACTAGGAGTCTTTTGTGCAACAATGGACTATTATTTTGTTGAATTGAATAATTTTTTGGGGTTGAAGAAACTAATATCCCTGTTAATCTAAAGGTGCATGGCAGAACTCAAAGGGTGAAAAATGCTGTTGTTTTTGGTGTCATTTAAAAGAGTTATTTAACCTTTTGGGAAATATGTGTATATATTGAACGTTCAAATGTTCGTCTTTGAGAAAGGGTTAGGGTATAATATACTCTCCTCTTTAAAACGGTGATCACTACATGAGAATTTAACAACCTGTAAACGACTTGCGTGTTACTGCTTATCCTGATAACCATTAAAAGTCAACACTACTGTTTCTTTTGGATTTCTAGGTGATAAAGCCGACCCCTGTAAGTTCCAGGCGTGTAACGAGTACGCTGGGTGTAAGGTGAACAAGTGGACGGGGGAGGCAGAGTGTGTCTGTAACGCAGGATACTTCAGCGTGGACAGCCTGCCCTGTCAGAGCATCTGTGACCTGCAGACTAACTTCTGCCTCAATGATGGCAAGTGTGACATCATCCCCGGCCAGGGAGCAATCTGCAGGTGGGTGTGGATTAGTGGGAAATGATCTGCGTAAGTGTGTGTGCGGGAAAAAAAGGTCTGATCTTAATCACAGAAACAGATTTTCAGCAGTTTTGGCAGAAGGTCAGATTCTTAGCTTCTAGTTTTGACGTTGCTTGGCTGTATGTTGATGATGTGGAGTTTCAGAAGCATATTTTGTATTTGGCTCCTTATAGTAGGGATGTAAAATGTGCAATAGCCTAATGAATTATAATCATAACCAACTGCATAGAATAAACATTTGTTTGCACCGTAGTTGGCTACAAATAACAATGAACTGTCTTAACATTTTTATATTTTCTGGCTTAAATCAAGATTGTTTTAAAGAAACTCACGTCAACATTTTGAATACACTTTTTTTATTTCACTATGCTCTCTGGTACTGAATGTACTGAAGAACAATAAGCAACCTCAGAGGAGGCCTTATTACCAATATTTGATTAATATTGTGATCAATTTGGATGCAAAATATCACATTTTGGGTCAGTGAAGTGTTTCTTATTATGTGGCGTTTCAACACTTTTCTATTTATTTTCTTATCGGAGTTATTTCAAAATTGTCATCTGTGTGTGTTCTTGTTAATGTTTATGTCTTAACATGTTTGTGCATGTTGTCCAAACAATCATATGCGCGCGTCAATGTGTGTAACATGACGTGCCAGAAATCGCAATCAGTCACAACATGTTCTCTGGCCGTGTTGAAACTGATGTATGTGGTGCACTTTAAATTGAATAATTATAAACAGACAGAGAGGCGGCTGTGTGCCAAGATGAATGCGAACCTTTGATTTACTCTCTCCACAACACCATAAAACACGCAGGCAGCTCCAGATGCTGTTTGATTGTTGTTTACTTCACGCCTCCCAACCCAAAGTATCGCTGAATCGAGACAGGAAACAGACTAGATGAGTTGTTTTATTTCAAAACAAGGATTTAATGACACATACAGAACATTATAATAGTTGTTGCTGACGATCTCAAGACAAACAGGATTCAGGATTCAGTCTTTTTGTATATACTAAAATCATTAAACACAACATTAGAAATAAAAAACAAAGAACTATGATGTTGTTTTTCTGCTCTTCCCCTAATGCTTAAATCATTTAAAAAAGGAATTGGTCCGTGTCCAGTACCCTATTTTTGTTTCAGAGTGGAAATTATTGTTTTCTTTACTAATCCACAAAAACAATAATAAGGGAATAAATTACAGAGATTCTATAATACCTTCATGTCAATCAGGTCTATAATGTTCTTGAATCATTGAGTGAATAAATCATTTTAGCTGACAAATTCTCCATTTTATCATCAGGTGTCGTGTCGGGGAGAACTGGTGGTACAGAGGAGAGCACTGTGAGGAGTACGTGTCTGAGCCGCTGGTGGTCGGCATAGCGATTGCCTCCGTAGCTGGATTCCTATTGGTGGCGTCCGGAGTCATCTTCTTCCTCGCCAGGACGTTACGGGATCAGTACGACAAGGATGAGTCGGAGGATCCCATACGGTGAGACAATCCACGTACCATATGGCTAAACTTCTCAGCAGCCCTCGATGATTTAGAACTAGCAACTAATCCAATTAATACAGATTTTGCATGTTTACTTACCAGTGAGGGACACGGTGAGAAATCAAAAGTAGCATGATTGTGATTGTAACCTAAACAAATAATTGTTCTGACAGGAAAAAAATACTTCTTTAACCTCCTAAACTCTGCAGAATCAGCTTACGTTGTGTGTGTGTGTGTGGCTAAGATCCACTGTATTTACTTTACTTTGTACTTATTTTGGAGATCTAAGATGTTTCCAAAGATTACAAATATGTCAGGCTCAATTTTGTATGCACACAAAATAATGCACAAGAGACCAATAACATTTAAAAATGCATTCATATGAAGTTCACATCCAAAATGTGCAATTGAATTGTGACACCAGCTGAAACAGTATACATATGTGACCCTGAAAAAGCTAATTAAATGATAAATTACCCCGTCAGATTGTTTTTCCATAGTGAGCAAAAGCTGTGAAGTGTATACTCCAAAAATAAACAAACTTTACTTTCAGTTTGATAGTGAACAGAAACCCTCACATTTAGTGTGTTTGAAGTTTTTCTCTCCTCCACGTAATCCTTTTTGGATTAAAGGAGCCTGGTTACTTTCTTCAGGGGACAGAATAAGTTGAAACACCCCATGAATGTATCCTCAGTTAGACGGCCAAAATTATCCACGGCACCATCCCATTACTCCTTTAGACTTCAGGCAGGAGGGCTCCCTTTTTCTGGATATTTTTTCCCTCCTGTGCTGCTTTGATCCAGACACAAAGATACACAGAGTATCTGTTCACCATCTATCTCTTTGTGTTGGTGTGTGTGCCTGGCACGGTTTCCAAAGCAGTCTGTGAAGAATCACTCTGCTATAACCTAAGCCAGTTATCTGATCAGAAATGCTGCTGATCTAATTCCAAAAAGCCTCACACACCTACAGTCACACAATAGCTTCCTGAAGGTCTGGACACAAACAAAAAAGACTTATCTGAGGTTAAGGAGGGTTAATCTCCGCTGAAGTCAGATTCAATGCTGCTCGGTCACCTTTTTACTAGCTTCCTTGACATTGTGACGTGGACTGATTGTTTTTGTTGCTCCACAGGCGAGCAGAGAGTGTCCCGTCTCTCGAGAGGGCGACTAAGTACAACCCCATGTACGAGAGCGAGGCCACCACAGGCTACAGCCACTACTACCGCCGCTATCCTGAAGCTGCGGTGTACAGCAGTGCCAGCGCTGAGGCCTCCACTGACTTCAGCAGCGAGGAGATACGACACATCTACGAGAACAGTGAACTGACCAAGGAGGTGTGTGTGTGTGTGTGTGTGTGTGTGTGGGCTGCTACCCATGGGTATACTTAAAATATGTCCAAGCAGCATTGAGAAACTTAATTGTTCTTATTACTTTTAATATGAAGGGAACTGTTTTACCAGATGTCATACTAAGTTTCTGCAGCAAAAATACTGTAGTGGGTGATCAGGTTTATTGGCGATCACAGAGAAATTAAGAGGTGACCAGTGATGAAAAAAATACTCTTAACTTAAGTAAAAGCAGCAATATGATGTTGCAGAAATGTTAACAAGTTACAGTCCTACATTTGAAACTTTTCTTTTTGAAAAAAAACTGTGGGAATTGTCCCAGGCCTCCGGACGTACAGTAACATCAAAATATACTAATACATACTAGTTTGGGGTACAACAACTGATGTTTAGTCTGGACAGACGGGTACATTTTAGGGAAAGAAGATGCCTTATTTAAAATGAACCATCCACTTGCAGATATTGGATGGTTACTGTGAGTGCTAACATACTCTGAGTGCCTTTTTGAAGTACAACTGAGTACAGTTATACCAAAGTGCAGGCCGGAGATGTGCCAAGGCCATCTGGATGCTGGATGGTAGTTAATGACACCGGACGGACACATCCTGTCCCACATGGATATTTGACCTGACAAGGATCTGAATTGGGAAATATGAGGTTGTAAACGTGTTCTATTACCAACTGGCATTTTCGCCATTAAATAGGAACCTCATTTGTTTTTCTTATGGAGTGTAAAATGTCACGTTTTGTTTCAGCCACAGCCGGTTTACTGTTTATTTGCCTGTGATGTAATGTTCCCTCCCGACTGATACCATGTGTTTCTGCAGGAAATCCAAGACAGGATACGCATCATTGAGCTCTACGCAAAGGACCGACAGTTTGCAGACTTTGTACGGCATCATCAAGCGTAAGTGCCTCTCTTGTTTTTCCTATCCTACCGCAATGAGATAAACACATGGACCAAACTAACCAGTATATGAGGAAAACGGGAAGTGAGTTTGAGATACAGGAGTCTGGTCAAGATTCTGCTGAAAAAATTGATTAAATTGTTTGTTCAGAGCTGGGGGAAGACGAAGAGTTCAAGCCACACTAAACCAGTTGGGAAACGGATTTATCATTCTTGAACCATCACCAATCAGGCCCTGAGCTGATTTAATAAGACAGAAAGCATTAGTGGACACAGGCATTCCTCCGTCTGCCAACAGTTTGGCAGTAGCAATGCGTCTGAGTGTAAAAGTGGAGGTTGTTTTAAGTCTTATTTGGCTGTATATCCCCAATCTGTATGCCAGAGAGATGCTTCTTGCCAGATAAACCTGAGTTAATATGTGGGTACATTCATCAAATAAAGTCACTGGTTTACCTACAAAGCTGAAATACAATGTGTGTGTGTTTATATGTTCTGCAGTGTTGTGGACACACGCAGAGAGAGCTCCTCTGCACACACATGAAACTCTCCTGTGAATAAGGTAACTTTTCTTGATTGAAGAATGTGTAGCAGCTTATACTTTCAATGACTAGTCCTCCTCAGATATTTGTCAAAAATACCAGCTACACTATGTTTAAATAAAAGTGAAACAGTAAAAGGGTACAGTATGTGTACTCAAAGATTTGGAAGACCAGTAGAAGTTCATATTGACCTCTAAAAAAGAAAATGGTGGCAGATATAATATCAAATACAGTAGATTACCAATGGTGCTGCAATCAATAAATACAATAATAAATAAATAAGTACATTAACAGTTGAAGGAAAGGGGGCATATTATTATATAATGCATATCAAAAAATAGCAAAAGAGGTTAAGCTCTTGCAGTTTTGAACACCTAACTACAAAATGTATTTAAATAAACGGACAGCGCCAGACTATTCCTTGGCGAGGAGCAGTTAAAGTAATTGCTCCATATCAAGACATTTTCCAGTACAAATTCAGGCTAGCTGTGTCTATGTGTTCCCTCATGCCAACCTTAGCTGCGGTCTGAAGCTTCATATTTACAGACTGGAGAGTGGTATGCATCTTCTCACTTTAAAAAAAATAACAAAACGTATTTCCAAACAATTCCAACAAAAAGTTAGATCATTCATCGGCTCGCAGCATATTGAAGCCTCAAGATAGAAAAGGTGTTTCCATGAGCTTATGGAGAAATTCAAGTGAGACATTGTGTTGGCAGAAAGAAAGGATATGATTGTAGAAGTTAGTGTGTATATCTAATACATAAAAAATGTGGACACTGCATACTCACTCACCTTTTCCTACTGCACAGAAACATGCCTCTATGCTAGAAAAGTGAAGACTCTCCACTTTCTTCATCATGGCACTCACAATCTGGACTGGTTAAGACGGACTCATTCAGCACGCTGCTCTTTATTTCCTCGACCCAACGACCCCTTTCTGTTTCTACGTATTTCCCCCGAACTGTTGACTGTTCTTCCTCCTTCCTTTGTGCCTTCTCTTGACTGGTCGAGCTGTGTGTGACATCACGTGTTGCTACTGGATGTGTCCCTCTGGACTGCATCCTACTACTTGAAATGTTCATCTCAATACTGTCTTCAGTAGTACTTTTGTTTTGTGGAACAATCGGTCTTGTCAACTCATGTCTGTCAATTCTTAGAGGGAACAACTTTAAGACTGTGAATATGTAAATAGTGTCTCTGTGAGGTTGTTTGCTAGTTAAGATGTTATTCCAACACAGTCTCACGGCATTTCGTGTTATAGTCACGAAATTAATCTATTGATTCGTGTTCACCAACACGATTTCGCCATTTTTTTTCGTGTCACACAGAACGATTTTAAAAGCAATGTAAATAATAACAAATTAGAAGGAAAAAGACATTAAAAAAAATACAGATTTAAGTATTCTGACACAGAACGATTTTAGAAGCAATGTATTTATATTGGTAGTATGTTTCGTGCCTGCACCAAATAATAACAAATTAGAAGGAAAAAAAGATGACATAAAATACTGATTTCAGTATTCTGAGGCTCTTTGCCCCATTTCTTTTCCTCACTGACGGCAAAAAAACTCAGACATTATACAATTTAAAAAAAAAGGGATAGGGTTAGGCTTAGGGTAAGATATTGAGTAAGAACATGTTTTTATGAACCACACAGCTTCTGGTCTTCCAAGACCCGACCGGACAAAAAGACGTGTTGCAGGCACGAAACATACTACCAATAGAAATACATTGCATTTAAAATCGTTCTGTGTGACACGAAAAAAATGTGAAAATCGTGTTGGTGAACACAAATCAATAGATTAAATTAATTTCGTGACTATAACACGAAATGCCGTGAGACTGGGTTGGTTATTCTCTACTTTTTTGTCTCTATAAAACTTAAATGACTCTTCAAGTCTTCTCAGAAAGGCCCTGAGAGAGCTGCTCTTTTAAGGACAACGGTGCTATTCTGATTCATAATGTGGTGGTCTATGATGACTTTTCTGGTTGTGACTTACATAAAAGGATTGATAAAAATGTAACTGTCTCACAGTAGCCGTTAGCTTAGCTTAGCGTAAAGACTGAAAACAGGGGTCAAACTGCTTAACTCAGACCAAATGTAACAAAATCTGCATATACTTAAGTACATTTATATTTTACAAAGAATATATAAAGTGTCAATCATGTTTATTAGTGCTGGTAGATGGATTTTGTTATGTTCAAACAGAACTAAGCTAGCTATTTCCTTCTGTTATTAATTTTCCAGTCTTTTTGCTAGGCTATGCTAAGAGCTGCTTGCTTGAGCCAATGTACAGATAATAGTGGAATACATTTTCCCATTTAAATCTCTATAAATAAGGGTATTTTCCCCAAATGTCAAGCTATTACTAGAAGTTGGCAATATTAAGTGGCAGTGTACTGTATGTGTTATTGCTGATCATCAATGTAAAAGCACACTTTCACAATCTTAGCGAATTCCAGCAATATTCTTTCTTTTGACAGGGGATTTCTCTGCCGTTTTTACGTCTCCTTTTATTAGAAGCTTTGGTGTATGTTTGTAAAAGTACGGCGTAGTAGACATAAGAAAGTGAAAACAGTGGTGATGGGAGCATGAACCCTCTATAGCTCTGGGATCCAGAAATAAGTGAAAACACGTTTCAGTGGAAAAATGCTCCGGGGCAAGCGGCCCTGGGATTTGATGAAATGGTTTGCTTTCAGATGTCATATGTAATGCAACTGAAAAGCAGGCTGATAAACAACATGCTCTCTTTGGTATGACAACCTCAAGCTGAAGTCTCCCGCTGAAAAAACCTCAAGGTTACAAGCAATTCCTTTTAAAAAAAAAAACAAAAAAAAACATTTCTCCTGTGACTACGTGTTTGGCTATGATCCTGCTGTTCATTCTGAAAGCTTGCAACAGACTATTTGCAGTTTGTAAGAGTCCGCAGGTTTTTTTGATTATTGTCGGCAAGTGTGCCCATCAGAATCAGATACATAGATTATATCTTAGCTTCTTGTTTACATTACATACTCCACGTCCTTTGCCCTTATTCTAAAGGTCTATACAAGCAACAAACACCGGTGAAGCAGACTCTTGTGATGATTTCATGCCTTTTTCAATCTGCAGAGTCAGTTTAATTTTTTTGTGCATGCTTTTTTATGGTATCTGCATACAGTTTATGTCATCATCCTCCATCTGCCACCTGTACAAACGGACAGTCATCCCATACAGTTTTGTCATGTAAATAACATTGAAGATATTAGATATTTGATAGTTGTAGGATGTAAATCATGTGTGTCTCAAATGTTTCAATAAATGAACATATTTTTATACTGATAACTGTTTCACCACTTTAACAGTGTTATCAAAACGTGCAGCTGTGTAAATAACTAATACAACTAATTGTAACATTACAAAAATACAAAATTTAAAGTGGACCTATTATGCTATATTGGAAAAATATATTGTAAGGCCATACCTATACAAAACATGTCTGTGAAGTTTTTTGCTTAAAATAGCAAACAGATCACCCATTGTAGCCATGCCTCATACTGCTCGTATACCCCTCTTTTGCAGCCCTGTTAGAGAAACGCAGATTTTGGGTCCTTAGCTTGAAAAAAAAAAAAAAGAGGAGGTGGAGCTAATGCCTGATCAGAATTCTACCGGAGATGAAGTTAAATTCTGCTGTGATAAAACGCCATCCTGTTCTAAACCACATCAACGATTATTTCTGAAACAGTATGGAGCTCAAATGCTTTTTCTCTTGCGGGTTTATCACAAGGTGAGTTCCTTTTTTTATTTCCTGCTTTTTAAACACATGTGCTCTCCAGTACAGGTTAGCTCTGAGTGTTAGCGAGGCTTGCTAATGTAAACAAAGACGAGATTACGTCCAAAACACGTCAGGCATTGTTTCTGATTGCAACTTTCTGTGGGTCCGCTGCCGATTTGACGTCAGATCGGCAGCAAATCTGTATCCGCTCGTTGTACCCCTGTTTTTAAAAGATTTGGGCACGGAGGAAAAGAGAGGGTTTTATTTTCTGACGCTGTGTGAGTTCCCCGACGCACCGGGGACACATTTTTATGTATAAAATACATCACAAAGTGCATTTTGCATGATAGGTCCCCTTTAAGTAAAATACAGACTATGGTCGCTGGTAAAAAGTAACTTAGTACATTTACTTCACCATTGTACTTTAGTACTTGATTATTTTAGACAACTTTGTAAATAAGATGTTTCATTATTAAATTAAAATTTCCCAAAAGCCACATTGGCCAGCAACAATATATTTTGATATATTAATATTTAATTAGCTTAGCCTATTTTAGCTTAAAGCCTTGAAAAAAATGAAAACAGTTAGCCTCTGTCCAAAGGTACCAACATCTGTTGACCTGTCACTCCTAAAGGAAGGGGTCGTAACATAGCTGTTTCCAATTGTCCAACTATTCCTTTAAAAACCTTAAACATGTTTCTTGTCATTGTTAAGAAAACACTAAGAGGGAGAACAGACTCGCTAAGATGCTAGCTTTTTCAACTTTGCTGTTGGACAAGATGTTTAGCTGCTCCAAGATAATCCAGATTAGTCTCAGAAGGTATGGATTAGGCCCGTCTGTGGCAATAACAGTTTCCAAAATAGTACATACTAGTAATCAGCCTGCGTCACACACACTCACAGATGCCAGGGTGTGGCGAGTAAAAGACATTGTGTAAAAACATTTCTGGTGAAATTCTACATTTGTGAACTTGTTGTCTCTGTTCTGCACTATATTAAATCCAGCTGCTGTTGCTTTTGTTATTTTTTAGAACGAGCAAAGTTCCAGAGGTTTGGATTATACATTTGGTGTGGTTTGGTGAGATCAGCGGGTGTGTTTTTGACAAGTGATGGCGATATTTAATTTAATTCAATTACATTTTAGAAAAGTTTAAAACACCATGGTTACATAGCAGGAGGGTTTGCTTGCTTTAAATGGCTCAGTTTGGATCTTTCACCTGCATGAAGTCAGCGGGTGATAAATGGAAAACATTGAGTGAGGGGGGAAATAATTACTGCATGCTGACAGACTGACTGTCGTTCTGGAGTGAGTAACTCATGAAAAGTCCCATTTATGGCAATGTTTCTGACCAGATGGGTCGATGTTTGCTCCAGTTAGAGTTATTGAGCGTGTAATTTATGGCAATTGTGTGCAACTAGTCGGTGGAAAACCCTTCATGTGTTGAATTGTCATATTTGTTCTCTCTGGGCGAGGGTAAGGGGTAGGGCTGCACGATATATCGTGTCGTGGCAATAATCGCGATATGCGCATGCGCGATATTCACATCGCGTGGACGTGTGATTTTTAGCACTTGCAATATTAAGTAGGAGAATGAACTCAAACACGTCATGTTACAATTATTTTGCTGCTTGCTACAAAAGGAAAACTTGCGCAGCTCTCATGTCAGGGGTACTTGAGTGAGTGACAAGCAGGCTCTGCATGCACAGCAAACCACAATCAAATCTCCAAAGCAAACGGACCCCGTGATTAAAGGTAAAAACACTGAATAAAGTAGTTTCATGTGTTTCTCCAGTTCGGCGCTGCTAACCGAACTAGCTCAGCTTGTTGCTCTGATAACTTAAGATCCAGACGTCCGTGACTAAAATCCTTCATCCGGTTAAATATAGTTAAAAAAATACCAATTGTATAGCATTAAAGTTCAAGAAAGGATGGTCAATTCCTGTATGTTTTCATATCGCAATATATATCGCAGGGGGAAAAAAAATCGCAATGTCAGTTTTTTCCAATATCGTGCAGCCCTAGTAAGGGGTTTTGCAATGTCAATTTTGTCACAAGCAACAACCTCCTTGTTCCCCCCTAAAAAGTTGTTTTCTGTCAGGCAGTCTTTACATTCTCTCTATACAAAATAGAAATCCCTGTGCTTTTAATACAAAAAGATCAGTATTGCAACTAACTTTTTTCTCCCAAAAATACCCCTAAAGCATTCAAGATAACTAATAAATCTGAATATCAGTATTCACCACTTTAAATTATTTGACAATTTATGGATTTTTGTGGCTGTCAAGTGTTTGTAGATAGCAGATTACAAATTGAGTCACATTTCGTATAGAGAAACTTAAATGCGCTTTCGTTGTGGAATCTGGTCACAGTTTATAGGAAGTGAGGAGTATGTGGTGTTATGGATGTGTTGAAACCTGATCCTCCACAAGAGGGCCATGTATCTGTCTTCACTCAGAGGAAAGCCTCAT